GGCCCCGCCCCTGCTCCTCCCCTTCCACCCAAGGCCCCGCTTCCTGGTCTGGCTGGAAGCTGGTAAAAGCTACCCAGGGAGCCAGGGCCACCGTGGGGAGCCCTGGACCCTGTGTCTTCTTTGGGCAGTGCGCCCCGGGTGGGCAGGGACACAGGCCGGGGCCTGCTTTTGTGCACCCCAGTCCCCTGCCCAGAGCAGGTGGAGGATCTGGGGTTCCACACAGCTGCCCGGACTCCTTGGGCAGCTCTTACTACAGCCTAGGGTGACCATACGTCCCATTTTAGCCGGGACAGTCCCTTTTTTAAGCCCTGACCCAGACATCCTGACTATTTCGGCAAAACTGGCCATTTGTCCTATTTGCTACCGCCCAGTTTTGCCAAAAAGGGGGGAGCGGGGAGGGATGAGCGGCAGGGCAAGCAGGGGGGGCAGAGGGGCTCTGACCAGCTCTGTGCAGGAGGAGGGGGAGAGGCTCGGGCAAGCTCTGTGCAGGGGGAGGGAGGCAGAGGGGCTCAGACCAGATCTGCGAGGAAAGATGGGGGTGTGTGCAGAGGGGATCGGGACAGTTCTGTTCAGGTGGAGTGAGGAAACGGGTAAGAAGTGATGAAGAAACTCTGAGATGCTTCATACTAACTGAAGAGTAGCTATTTATTGCCTTCTGACTGGGAAAATTCTTAATGTGTAATCATTTATTTGTCCAGGTCTGAAGGGTCTTAGCCGCTGGTCTCACTAACTATATTTGAAGGGAAGTTCAGAACATTCCGAAATACAAAAGTCATTCTCTAACTTTCAGAGAAGCTGTAATACTCTATGTCCTTGAAGTACGTTCCCAGCAATGCCCCTGGTTTACTGTGACATCACTATTCATTCTAAAAGTATCAACTTTCCAGGCATGCCAGGTCAATCAAATAATCTGGACATGAACTAGTGCCTAGTATTCCTTTTACATTTCAACTTCTGAAGTGGTAACTGTGGGAACATATTGGCCTTGTAACTCTTCACTGTAAACAGGGCTGCCCAGAGGATTCAGGGAGCCCTGGGCAAAGCAATTTTGGGGGCCCCTTCCATAAAAAAAAGTTACAATACTATAGAATACTATATTCTCGTGGGGGCCCGTGGGGGCCCCCAGCAGCCCTGACTGTAAAAGGTCCCCAGTACTACAGTGAACTTCCCAAATGTGTAGACACATTTACGTTCTCCAAAATTAAAGATTCTATGAGAGATGGGACAACTGTCTCTCTTAAATACCTAATATTTTTAAAGTATCACAACTTTTAACAATTTTCTTCAGCCTCTCCTTTTATCTTTGTATAAAGTCAACTAGGAAATGCTGAGTCTAGTGTCAAAGTTTATCCTTTATAGAAATACCTAATGAAATGCTATGTTGTACTATTCCAGTAGCTATGCCCTCAGCTGCAGAGTATGGGAATAAAGGAAATGGTTCACTGAAACTAAGCCAACTGATAACTAAAGAAAAAGTTGCTATTTTTGATAAAGTAGTGATAAATTAACTCCCCTAGCTGAATCTTCTTTAATTTTTAAATAGAGTATAAGAAAGCTAAAAGAGGAAAGAGGAAAAAGAGGTCACTAGTACCATTTAAATCTTACCGTATTAAAGTTTTTAGGGGTCTGCCCCAATCAGATTATTGAAACTCTTTAGGAGGCATTTGATTTGTGGGATGAATTCTGGAGAAAATTTTAGAATGTAAAAAACAAGGTTATGAAGTATCTGTCCAAGGTAACTGGTGTATACCAGTTCCCAAATTTTATTCAGCAACTGATAAGACTAAATGTTGTTGTAAATATTTGATCTTACAGTAAGCGGGTGATACTTGGTCAATGTGTCTGTCAGAACATAATCAGTGGAGTGTACATACACTGTGACACTCTCTGTGGATGGAGAGGTAGATATGCGTCTGATAATACCAAGGGTGAGGTAAATTGGGGCAACTTGATTCCAAGACATTACGGACATAGATAAACCAACCACGAATCATTTTGGGAACCTAGGTTTTCAAATTACATTGTTTCCACACTTCTATTAGTCGATGACTTCTAGTTTCTTCTTGTAGGGGTCCTCATTGGAGACAAAGCAGTATGTGTATAGGGATACGTATAGAACTAATCATTGGATTTATAACAGCATATACAATTTCGTGTGTGTATTTTCTACTTAGATTTACAAGAGGGAACTAAAAATGGGTTATACACAGAAGTCTTTGGAAGTTGATGTGTTTGAACTGCAGGATTGGGCCTATGGAGGGGTAAAGGGGGAAAAAAGGGAGGTCAGAAAAAGAGAAAACAGAAAACTGTATTTAAAATAAGGGAATAATTAAAACCGTTTTTAAACTGGTAATAACATGTTGATCAAAGATGGAGTTTGGAATCTGAGAAACAGAACAGTACAGAGTGAAGATGTTTTTTACATACAGAAGTTATGCAAGTATCAGAGGGGTAGCTGTGTTAGTCTGGATCTGTAAAAAGCAACAGAGAGTCCTGTGGCACCTTTAAGACTAACAGATGTATTGGAGCATAAGCTTTCGTGGGTGAATGCCCACTTCGTCGGATGCAAGTAATGGAAATTTCCAGGGGCAGGTATAAATATGCTGGCAAGAATCAGTCTGGAGATAACAAGGTTAGTTCAATCAGGAATGGCAATATACAAAAACCTGTAGGAGAACACTTCAACCTCCCTGGCCACACAATAGCAGATGTAAAGGTAGCCATCTTACAGCAAAAAAACTTCAGGACCAGACTCCAAAGAGAAACTCCTGAGCTTCAGTTCATTTGCAAATTTGACACCATCAGATCAGGATTAAACAAAGACTGTGAATGGCTAGCCAACTACTGAAGCAGTTTCTCCTCCCTTGGTGTTCACACTTCAACTGCTAGCAGAGGACCTCACCCTCCCTGATTGAACTAACCTTGTTATCTCCAGACTGATTCTTGCCAGCATATTTATACCTGCCCCTGGAAATTTCCATTACTTGCATCCGACAAAGTGGGCATTCACCCACGAAAGCTTATGTTCCAATACATCTGTTAGTCTTAAAGGTGCCACAGGACTCTCTGTTGCTTTTTACAGAAGTTATGCAAGTTCAGGAAAATCAATACAATTATTGAGTATGTTCACGCTGTTGTGCTTGCACTCCTGCAACCTTGGGCAGTGAAGTGCAGAAAGGTTACTAGACAGGTCAATTCATGGTACAATGTGGGATACCCGCAGAAAACTACTTGCACTGTCACAGAGCTCCCCTATTTATTTATTTTATTTTATTTTTAAGCATAACAAATATATTGATTTAACTATGGAAATCAGTAACTATTGATGGGAGACAGATATGTATGTGGATGCATGCCTGCTCCCACTGAAATAAGCAGCTATATCACAGTATAACTTTTGGGTGTAGATCGGGTGTAGGTAAAGACACTGACTAAGGCAATGAATGGAGGAATTGAGCTAGAGCTGGAGGTAACTAGGAAGTTATAGAAAGGAAACAAAAGTCAGAGGAATCATGGAACTTGAAATCACCCATGGCAACATTAATGGAATGGAATAAATGGAAGAGTGAGAGCCAGGCAACTTCCAGGAGGAGCCAAAAGGACAATAGATGACAGCCACACACTGGGAACCGGGAGAGAAGAGAGAGATTAAAGCCTTATCTAAACACGTTTGTTAAACCAGGACCAACACCTGTGTGGGCTAAGGTTACCACCTGTCTGGGTTTTACTTGGACAGTCCTTTTTTTGGCTTCTGTGTCTGGGTGCCATTTAGGGATGCCAGGTGCCCGGTTTTTGACCGGAAAGTCCAGTTGAAAAGGGGACCTGGAAACCCTAAACAATGGCATCCAAATCAAAAGTCTAGTTACTGCATCAGCCCCTGCTCAGCTGGGGCTAACGCCTACCTCCAGGCAGGCTCCTTGAGAGGATCCAGCAAGCAACAGGAGTAGGGAGGCAAAGGACTGAGCGACAGGGATGGGGCTTTGGGGGGAGGGGGCTTTAGGGGCCTAAAAAGGTAGCAACCTTAGTGTGGGCACTCTTATTTCAGGTGAAGAGTGTGGCTTATTTTGGTTTAGCTTAAATAAATCCTTACCATATTTAAAATAAATTGAAATATGCCTGGTTTAAACTGAAATTGTCCACAGTCTCTTGCACCAGTTTAACTGTATGAGTTTAAAATAACAGTACGGAGGAGCTAGAAATAGGAGACAGGTGCACAAAAAAGAAGGCAGAAACAGAAAGTCTAAGGGGTAGAGACAGGTTTTTCTGAGAACAGGGAGGTAAAGGGACATGATAGAGGTTTTGGATCAAGGTAAGCTTCTAAGATCTGAAACAGGAGCTGCAGAGCAGCAGAGGAGATGGGAAAACAGGAAATGGGAAAAGAGGTGCCTATTTTGGCCACACCTAATTTCCACCTCCCTCTTCCCTTTTTCAAATGCCACTTTGCTTAGCTTTCTCGCCAGATAGTTTAACAAACCTGAACTTCATTGATATTTGTGTAGGGTCTTAACCACCCCAACAAAGACCAAATTATATGCTAGGATTTGAAGAGCCCAGCAGCACATGCACTCAACCCAAGGCATAGGTGAAAACTTAGGAAAAAATATTCCTTGTCTTTGCCTTTTCTCCTCGTTCTGTGTGTTTCAATGGAGCTAGAGAGACTCTGTCACTTCCAAACAATGTCATTCTGCCGGAATCCGGGGCCCGTTTTACCACTAACGGCGGAGGAGGGTGACACAGGACATGTGGTTGTAGCAGTAACTGCTGGCGAGGCCGGTGGGCAGGGGCCGAGCCTGGGACTCCTGTGGTGACACTGACACACACATCCCTGCCCTGGAGACCTGCACGGCCTCACTTACACTGCACAGCCCGGGACAGCGGCCGGGCGCGCTCGCGGCTCTGGTGGGAGGGGGCAGGCCTGCCTTTCCGCGGTGACGCGGCTGCGCGCGGTGACGTCACAGTGGGACGCCACCAGGCCCCGCCCTCCGCATTCCAACGTGCCGAGGGAGTGAGGTAAACAAGGCCCAGCAGCCCCGCCCGCCGCGGCCCAGCAACTTCCAGAAGGGCCGCGCGCGAGCTAGCGAGCGGGGGCCGCCCACAGCTGTGGCGCAGCAGGAATTGCCGCCCTCCCGCCGCACCGCGGGCGGGGTGATGCCCCTGTTTATTTTTACCCGGGCGGCTCATCCTCTCCGGCTGCCCGAGCGCGGCCGCTCCCCGCCCTGGCCCCGCCTATAAAAGGCCGCCCGCGGGGGGCTGAGGATGCAGCTTTATAGCTCCGTGATCACCCACTACCCGGCAGCGGGGGCGGCGGCTGCAGCAGCAGCAGGCGGGGCGGGCGTTTTCAAAGTCTCCCTGCCGGCGGTGCCCCCCTCTCCGGACGCAGCGAGCGCCGCGGGCCAGAGCCCGGCCGCCGAGAGCCTCGCTAAGGAGAGTCTGGTGCCCGGAGGCAGCGGTGCCGCCATGACTGCCTTCTCCTCCTGCCTGGAGCTGATGCCCGGCGGGCCTGCGGCGGGCCCGGGCGGCAGGCCGGTAGCGGCCCCGCAGTACAGCTCCAGCGCGCAGATCACCGTGAGCCGCAGGAGGCCGCTGGAGAGGATCGTGCCCATCCGCATCGTGCAGCGCCCCGAGCCCCCCGTGGAGCTGGCCCCGGCCTCTCCGCAGAGCCGAGCCTGGCTCGAGGGCATCCTGGAGAGCATGCGACAAGCCGGCGGGGACGCGGAGGCCGCCGCAGCCCCGCACCGCCCGGAGGAGCCCAGCAACCACAGCCTCCGCCTAAGCGAGCACTGCCAGGCTCTGCAGGCGGCGGCCAGCGCTCAGCCCGACCCGGCCGCCACCTGCGGCGAGGAGAGCGGCGGCCAGGCCCTGCCCCTGCCCTGCTCCCCGCTAGCGGAGGAGGAGGGCCCCAGCCCGAGGAGGGGGCCGGAGCGGAGTGAGAAGCTGGCTCTGTACCTGGCCGAGGTGGAGAAGCAGGACAAATACCTGCGGCACAAGGGCCGGTTCCGCTTCCACATCATCCCCGATGGAAACTGCCTGTACCGCGCCATCTGCAAGGCCGTGTACGGGGACCAGCGGCTGCACAGCGAGCTCCGCGAGCAGACTGTGCACTACATCGCCGACCACCTGCACCATTTCAGCCCCATCATCGAGGGCGATGTGGGCGAGTTTCTCATCGGCGCCGCCCAGGACGGCGCTTGGGCTGGCTACCCTGAGCTCCTGGCCATGGGGCAGATGCTGAATGTAAACATTCATCTCACCACGGGCGGCAGGCCAGAGAGCCCCACCGTCTCCACTATGGCCCACTACCTGGGCCCTGAGGACCCGGCCCGGCCTAGCATCTGGCTGAGCTGGCTCAGCAATGGGCACTACGACGCTGTGCTGGACTGTGTGTGTCCTAACCCGGAGTACGAGGCCTGGTGCAGGCAGACTCAGGTGCAGCGCAGGCGGGACGAGGAGCTTGCCAAATCCATGGCCATGTCACTGTCTAAGATGTACATCGAGCAGAACACCTGCTCCTGAGACTTCCTAGTCTAGAAGCTCAAAGCCCTACTCCAGGTCAAGAGAGACAGTTTGCACCGGCCATGGTGGTGATGCCTTAATCCTTCATAAAGCAGCGGTGCCCTAGACTGAGGAGCCTCCATACAATATTAAACTGGGGGGGATGACAAATCCAAACTTGTATTTGTAATATTCTCTTGTATAAAGCTAGCCCTGGATTATTTGGAAGCGGATTCTCCATGTATATGTGGTTGTTTTTTTGTTTTGTTTATTTTTCTCCCCCCCCCCCCCAGTTCTCTATTTTCTAGAAGAATGTATTTTTTGCACATTTTTTTTTTTTAAACTGTTACCTCCATCTCCTACATCTCATGTTGGCCTCTGGCTTTCAGCTGTGCAGCCAAAAAAGTTTGTAAGAGGTTTATTTTGTAAATAAGGTTTATGATATACCAGGTTAGGTGTTGAGGGTTTTTTTGTTTTGTTTTGTTTTTTTCCTGTGATTTGACCCATACAACTTAAACTACCAAATGAAATTGGTGTCAGCCAGTTTGAACCTTAGCTGGACCGACTTTCCCTGATTGATGGAAAGTAAATAAACTTTAGCTAAACAATGGTTTGAATAAAAGTGCAGAAAACTTTTAAATAGCTACTTCAAAAAGTTTTTGATTGCCTCAAGCACAGAACAAGTCTTATAAGCCTGTTGGAATGTAGCTATTCATGAATGGTACAGGGAGCAATTGTGACTCTTCTGTATTTAATTACTGTTTAGAGTAAATTGGCCTCTGGTTGCTTGGGTGACTCACCCATTGTTCCATTTATATTTTATTCAATTGTAATAATATACATTTAATGTAGAATGTTGTGATAAAATAATAGTTTGTAGTTTTGGCAAGAATTGGCTGTACCTCAGTATTTGGGTTTCTGAGGTGGTTTGTGGGGGTTTTTTTGTTTTTTTGTTTTTTTTTTTAATGCCTTTTCTTTGCCCCATGTAACTTGCATTGCATCAGCAGGCTGTTATCACAACATTTTACTCCTTTTGATGTTGTTTTCTAATCAAGAATATAATGCACTGTCCTATATTATGTAAAAAGTATTTAAACCGAGACTTGTATGGTTTGCTGGGTCAAACACTAAATGTTTTCAACCTGAGAGCTATCTTCTTTAATCTCCTGTTAACTTTAATTTGTTAGACATATTTATTAAGTAATGCAGTTTGTACTTTTTTATTTTGTAATATTTTGTGATTTTTTTGAATTACTACTGTACTTGTATAATAGGAATATTCTTAGCTAAAATGGAATGAATAAAGTGTATAATTTTATTTGTTTTTCTTTAAATTCTTACTCTTAAGAGTTGCACGGTGCTGTTTGTTTATGTCTGTAGAGGATTGTTTCGTCTCCTGCAGTCATACATGATGGGAGGGGGGAACAAAAAATGACTACAAAGATTCTGGTTTTTGGAGGGGTATGCAAAAATACTGGATCTGCAGGTTTAATAAAACTTTTTGTATAAATAGCTTAAGCTTTTCAAACTCAAGTAATACTGTAGAATACCTCATAATATCTTATTAGCCAAATTTTTTGTATTCTGTGTTGCTGATAGTTTAGTATATAGCCAATAATACAGAAGTCCATTCTTAGTAACTGTGTTGCACATCAACTAAGTGTCTGAATAAGACTAGAATTGAGATATGAAATGGTTCAAGTCAGAACAGCTGTAGGATCAGTAGCAAGTAGCATTGGGTATGTCTACACTGCAATAAAATACCACCTGCAGTTGGTCCGGGTCAGCTGACTTGGGGCTCATGGGGCTATAAAATTGCAGTGTAGATCTTTGGGCTCTGGGACTCTCCTCTTAACAGCAACTCAGAAGCTGGGCTCTGGCCCAAGCCTGAACGGCTACACTACAGTTTTATAGCCTGAGACCTGTGGAGCCCTAGTCAGCTGAGCCAGGCTAGCCACAGGTATCTTATTGTAGTGTAGACATACCCACTGGGTACTATTCTCTACTCTGCAATTCTATGGCGTTTGTGTCTTTTACAACTGTGACACTATAATGTATTGTAGACTAACTTCCTTCTGGCTTTGGTCAGCTGATGAACAAGATTAGAATTCTACCAGTAGAAGCCAGTCCCCTTGTGTTAGATTGTAGACTATTGAATCTCCTGTAAGGAGAGAGAATACTGAGATAAGTAAGCTCAAGGGGGAAATGTATGCACATACTATATTTAAAAGAAACAATAAAACATTAAGCTGTAAGAATGATTACTAGGGCAAACTAGAGAAGATGGCAAACTTTAAGGACCCAAATTTTGAGTAGTTCATTACCAGGTATCTAAATGATTTTCTAAACTATAGTAAATAGCTGCTAATGATCACACAAAGAATGATCAGCTATTGATGTATTGTGAGTTCGAGTGCAATATACTGAATAACATCTCTAACAAAGCTACTGGAAGCATTCCATGCCTAAACAACTTATAAAATCCTCCGTTTCCTTTTAGGGCCTTTAAAATCAGAAGTTGTCTGTTTCCGCTCTTCTGTGCTATAGCAGTTGCAGCTAACTTGGAAGCCTCTAAAGGAGCAGAGGGGCCGGTAAGCTAATAAAGGGGAGTTTAATAGACATCACAAAAATGCACAATATACAGTAAAGTATAAATAGGCACAAATTGAGTGGTATACTAACTGAACTATACATTACTGATTCCCCTAGGGACCAGTTCCAACCATTCCTTACTACTGTAGTTCTGATGTCACAACAGAGTGCATGCTGGGGTGTCTAATTTTAGGAGATGTGGAGTAGGGGAGGTTCACTTTCAGACTTGGTTATTATAAAAATTAGTTTGCAATGACATTTTGTATATATTGCTGAGGTAAACTGAACTTGCAAATATAAGCATCCAGTTCATATTCAGTGTGCATCTACTATAAAAGAGGTATTTGAGTTGAACGTGAAGACTGAACCCACAAAGTAGAGACAAAAACATTTTTACCTCCAGTGTTTCAAATTCAACCTGGGCATTGAGACTTCTACACTTGGAGTTCTTTGCCTATGTAACTCTGCCAGTATCCTGCACCAGCAAAGTGCTCCTACTGTGGACAAAAAAGTGCAGTTTTGCTTGTAAGTAGAACCTCAGTTACGGACACCTCAAGAATGGAGGTTGTCTGTAACTCTGAAATGTTCATAACTCTGAACAAAGTGCAATTCAGGCTCCAGATCCAGCAGCTGATGCGCCAGGCCAGGTTTCAGCAGCTGAGCTCCCTACTCAGCACCCGTATGGGGCTGGCAGCCCCAACATCTTGCTGTAAGTGGCTGCTCCTGTATGAGCACGGGGGAAGAGGCAGCCCAGATGTACCTATCTTTAAGATGCAATACAGACACAGTACAGTATTTGGGGTTTTTTGGTTTTGTCTCTGCTGCTGCCTGATTGGTTACTTCCAGTTTCACTTGCTGTCCAGTTGACCGGTCAGTCCGTAACTCTGGAGTTCATATCTTTGAGGTTCTGCTATAGAGCTATATCTACACTAGGGGCTTTTACCACCACGTTATGTCGGTCAGGGATCACACCTCTTCACAGCCCTGACAGACACAAGTTTGTACTGTTAAAGCTGAGTCCTGAGTCAACTGATTATTGTTCTCATTTCCCACTCCCACCTTTACGTAACATCACCAGTAACTTAGGGAGGACAAATGCCTTTGATTGCACCTGTGCTACCCTGTTGTCTTCAGTTATACCTTCAGTTAACTATTGGTGCAACCCAGTTAATTTGCAGTTAATCCATGCAGCAGTCTGCATCTCCTGTCTGGGAGCATGCAAGCCGCTTGCACCCACAAGCATGATCAGGGAGAACTGCTGGTGAGCCTGGTGCCTGTCCCAGTGGACAGAGCTGGGGGCGCACAGCCACGCTGAAGGAATTGCCTGAGCTGGGTGCTGGCTCCTGCAACCAGCGGCCCAACGTACTGCTGCTTTCACTGCTGCAGTTCCTGGTAGAGCCCTGCAGCTCCACATATATCCGCTTTAAATCCCTGGATATCCGCATCCATGGATATAAATTTTGTATCCTCGCAGGGCTCTAGCAGTATATTCTTTCTTGTTTGTACTTTTCTGTGCCCT